ATTAACGGGTTTAAGAGTTTTTTAAAGTTTTAAGAGTTTTAAGAGTTTTTAAGAGTTTCAGCCAAATGCTTTATAATATAGTATATATATATATATATATATTCTAAAATATAAATATATAATTTTATAATATATTTTTAAAGATTGGTTTGGATTGTGAATAAAATATGAAAAAAGTTAAATTGGATTGGAATTAAAGTTTTGATAGGTGGAAGAGAGAGAAATTAATTTTTTAATAAAGATTGGTTTGGTTTGGTTTGTGAATAAAGATAGTCTTAGTATTTTTTTGAACCCAACCCAACCCGATAAACCCGATGTCCTTTTATTTCTTGAATTTAAAATGATTGTTGAATTTTTATTAATATATACATTAGACAATTACACTATCATGTATGATTTTCATATACACATATTTTCAATCTATTCATATATGTATATAACTCATTTAGTAACCGTAAATATACATATGTAAATTGAGAAAATTAACTGAATGTGATATACGTAAGAAATATGAATAAGTTGTATCAAATGGTTGATGATGAAAAAGAAATTATAAGCAGAGAAATAATATATTCAAGGTTAGAAGAATATTTTAATATACCAAAGTATCAACCCGACCAACCCAACTAACCCGACCAACTCATACGGGTTGGGTTGGGTTGGGTTGGGTTGGGTTGCACTTTGATTGCGGTTGGGTTAGGTTAAGATTTTTTCAAACCGCAAGCATTGAATTGGATTGTTCAAATGTCTTCAACCCGATCAACCCAACCCATAAACACCCCTAACTCAAACTATTTGGACTTAATGGCCCAAAAACTTATTTTTATAAACACGTTTTCAAAAGGGTAATTTAGGTAATTTGCACCCCACAGATAGGGGTCTTTGTAAAATATATTGAAAACATAAATAAAAAATCAAATGTTTTTGAAAACATAAATTTAGAAAAGATGCAAAGTTTTTTTATTTTTAGACGGGATCGTTAAGGGTGCGTTTGGTGCGCAGATAGGACTGGACAGGACTGGACGGGACAGGACAGGACAGGACAGCTGTTCAGCGTTTGGTAAGACAGGACATGACAGGACAGAACTGGTTAAAATAACCAATTTACCCCCCAGTGAGCTGTTTAGTGTTTTCTCACTACGAAAT